ACTACCTTACAGCTAGTTTTTACTACTTTATGTACAGCTCGTTTTTACTACTTTATGTACAGCTCGTTTTTACTACTTTATGTACAGCTCGTTTTTACTACTTTATGTACAGCTAGTTTTAACTACCTTACAGCTAGATTTTACTACTTTATGTACAGCTAGTTTTTACTACTTTATGTACAGCTCGTTTTAACCACCTTACAGCTACTTTTTACTACTTTATATACAGCTAGTTTTTACTTCTTTATGTACAGCTAGTTTTTACTGCTTTATGTACAGCTCGTTTTAACTACCTCACAGCTAGTTTTTACTTCTTTATGTACAGCTAGTTTTAACCACCTTACAGCTACTTTTTACTACTTATATACAGCTAGTTTTTACTACTTTATGTACAGCTAGTTTTTACTGCTTTATGTACAGCTCGTTTTAACTACCTTACAGCTAGTTTTTACTTCTTTATGTACAGCTAGTTTTTACTTCTTTATGTACAGCTAGTTTTTACTACTTTATGTACAGCTAGTTTTTATGTACAGCTAGTTTTTATGTACAGCTCGTTTTTACTACTTTATGTACAGCTAGTTTTTACTTCTTTATGTACAGCTCGTTTTAACTACCTTACAGGTAGTTTTTACTTCTTTATGTACAGCTAGTTTTTACTACTTTATGTACAGCTAGCTTTTACTACTTTATGTACAGCTCGTTTTAACTACCTTACAGCTAGTTTTTACTTCTTTATGTACAGCTAGTTTTTATGTACAGCTAGTTTTTACTACTTTATGTACAGCTAGTTTTTACTTCTTTATGTACAGCTAGTTTTTATGTACAGCTAGTTTTTATGTACAGCTCGTTTTTACTTCTTTATGTACAGCTACTTTTTACTACTTTATATACAGCTAGTTTTTACTTCTTTATGTACAGCTAGTTTTTACTTCTTTATGTACAGCTAGTTTTTATGTACAGCTAGTTTTTACTACTTTATGTACAGCTAGTTTTAACCACCTTACAGCTACTTTTTACTACTTTATATACAGCTAGTTTTTACTTCTTTATGTACAGCTAGTTTTTACTTCTTTATGTACAGCTAGTTTTTATGTACAGCTACTTTTTACTTCTTTATGTACAGCTAGTTTTTACTACTTTATATACAGCTAGTTTTTACTACTTTATGTACAGCTACTTTTTACTTCTTTATGTACAGCTAGTTTTTATGTACAGCTCGTTTTTACTTCTTTATGTACAGCTAGTTTTAACCACCTTACAGCTACTTTTTACTACTTTATATACAGCTAGTTTTACTTCTTTATGTACAGCTAGTTTTTATGTACAGCTACTTTTTACTACTTTATATACAGCTAGTTTTTACTTCTTTATGTACAGCTAGTTTTTACTTCTTTATGTACAGCTAGTTTTAACCACCTTACAGCTACTTTTTACTATTTTATATACAGCTAGTTTTTACTTCTTTATGTACAGCTAGTTTTTACTACCTACTTTTTACTACTTTATATACAGCTACTTTTACTACTTTATATACAGCTACTTTTTACTCTTTATGTACAGCTACTTTTTACTTCTTTATGTACAGCTAGTTTTAACCACCTTACAGCTACTTTTTACTACTTTATATACAGCTAGTTTTTACTACTTTATGTACAGCTAGTTTTTACTTCTTTATGTACAGCTAGTTTTTACTACCTACTTTTTACTACTTTATATACAGCTACTTTTTACTACTTTATATACAGCTAGTTTTTACTTCTTTATGTACAGCTAGTTTTTACTTCTTTATGTACAACTAGTTTTAACCACCTTACAGCTACTTTTTACTACTTTATATACAGCTACTTTTTACTTCTTTATGTACAGCTACTTTTTACTTCTTTATGTACAGCTAGTTTTTACTACCTACTTTTTACTACTTTATATACAGCTACTTTTTACTACTTTATATACAGCTACTTTTTACTTCTTTATGTACAGCTAGTTTTTACTTCTTTATGTACAACTAGTTTTTACTACCTACTTTTTACTACTTTATATACAGCTACTTTTTACTACTTTATATACAGCTAGTTTTTATGTACAGCTCGTTTTTACTTCTTTATGTACAGCTAGTTTTAACCACCTTACAGGTACTTTTTACTACTTTATATACAGCTAATTTTTACTTCTTTATGTACAGCTCGTTTTTACTTCTTTATGTACAGCTAGTTTTAACCACCTTACAGCTACTTTTTACTACTTTACATACAGCTAGTTTTTACTTCTTTATGTACAGCTACTTTTTACTTCTTTATGTACAACTAGTTTTTACTACCTACTTTTTACTACTTTATACAGCTAGTTTTTACTACTTTATATACAGCTAGTTTTTACTACTTTATGTACAGCTAGTTTTTACTTCTTTATGTACAACTAGTTTTTACTACCTACTTTTTACTACTTTATGTACAGCTAGATTATGTAAATCTACTTTTAACTACTTTTTGTACAGCCAGATTGTGTAAACCTACTTTATATACAGCTAGTTTTTACTACTTTATGTACAGCTAGTTTTAACCACTTTATGTACAGGTAGATTGTGTAAACCTACTTTATATACAGCTAGTTTTTACTACTTTATGTACAGGTTGATTGTGTAAACCTACTTTATATACAGCTAGTTTTTACTACTTTATATACAGCTAGTTTTTACTTCTTTATGTACAGCTAGTTTTTACTTCTTTATGTACAGCTAGTTTTAACTACCATACAGCTAGTTTTTACTACTTTGCAGCTAGTTTTACTTCTTTATGTACAGCTAGTTTTAACTACCATACAGCTAGTTTTTACACTTATTTATTCATTTAGCAGACGCTTTTACCCAAAGCGATTTACAATTTTATATATATATTACATATATATATATATATATATATATATATATATATATATACACACACACACACACAATATATGTCAGAGGTTGCACGCCTCTGGAGCAAGTAGGGGTTAAGTGTCTTGCTCAGGGACACAATGGTGGATGGGTCACAGTTTTTAAACTTTTTAAATTATGTATGGATAAAAAGCCAAGTCAATAATCATGGTCAGATCAGTGATCAGCATTCTTCACACCTCCAGACATCATAGCCAAAGAGGGAGACCAAACCTGGTAACTGGGAATGCCAAGTGCTTCAAATTGTACTTTTAATCAATTGGTTTCTCCATCATTACCTATCACAGTTTTAAGTGATGAAGATGGTACAGACGAGTTCACAATGGAATATATTGACCTTCTGTGTGCAATATGACGCTGAACAGTTTATTAAATCTGTTAAACAATAAATGCAAATTTGATCAAAACTTTTTCTTACCTTCATTAAAGGGCTTCAGTCTGACAAAATAATATCTGAGACAGACGCAATTTTTACAATAAACGTCTGTTTGTGCAGTTGAATAGATTATCAGAATAAAAGTCCTGGCATAAATCATTGTAGTGTCTCTCTGTCGGCTGATTCTTCCCCAACATTAGAGTAACTTCATAAAACCCAACAATAGATGAGGAGCAGGAGCTCTAATCTGACAGACAATCCAGTAATGAACATATCAACAGTTAAGAGAGATACAGTACAAACACATATAAATATACATATGATAAAAAACTGATGAAACAAGATAAAAACTACACACCTGACCTCTTGTACAAAATATTTCTATGTTTCTAACTTCACTTTCAGAACATAGAAAGAACCTCATATAACAAACATTTAACTCTTCACATTCAAACAAACATTTCCTGTCTTGCCAATCAGAGGAGACGCTGCAGTCTGACACAGCAGGGGGAGATGATGGTCACCTGACCGCTCTGCAGGTCTCTGTATACCAGGTAGTCCCGTCTGTGCGAACCTATCTGTGTGTTGGATACCCTCTGACTCTCTGAGACCATCTGACCCGTCTGTGTCTCTGAGACCGTCTGACCCGTCTGTCTTTCTGTGACTGTCTGACCCATCTGTCTCTCTGAGACCGTCTGACCCGTCTGTCTTTCTGTGACTGTCTGACCCATCTGTCTCTCTGAGACCGTCTGACCCGTCTGTCTTTCTGTGACTGTCTGACCCGTCTGTGTCTCTGAGACCGTCTGACCCATCTGTCTCTCTGCAGCCCCTGACCTTTCAGCCACCTCTGAAGCCCCGCCCCCAGCCTCACTGTCAAACTTGACCTTTTTTGGTTTTCCTCTTTGTTTGTTTCTGTTCGCTGTGTCCTGATTGGTCCGACCTGCCTGCCTGTCTGTCTGTACTGTTTCCTCAGACCTGTCAATCATTGACGCGTCATTTGAAGCTCCGCCCCCAGCTTCGCTCTTGTTCTTTGGTTTATTTCCATGTTTAAATTCCCACCCCCTGTCCTGATTGGCTGTTCCTGGACCATGTGACTGTCCCTCTGACTCCAGGAGATATCTGATTGGTGGGCCTACCATCATCCTCCTCAGCCTCTGAGGTTGCTCCACCACCTCCTTTTGTCCATCCTCTCCTCCTCCCTCCTCCTTCAGACAGACTTGTGTCACCTCCACCTTGTTCTCCTTTACTTGTCCTTCCTCTCCTCCTCCCTCCTCCTTCAGACAGACTCGTTTCACCACCTCCACCTCTTCTCTACACCTCTTCCTCCCCCTTGCTCCATCTCGCTCCTGCTGTGTTCTCCTTATGGTGGTCTGGTAGTCGACCCACCACCAGGGATTTCTTCGCGCACGCTTTCTGCATCTTGACCAATCATGAGCCTTGGTGGGACGTGGAAGGACCTCTTCTTCCTGTTTCTCATCAGCAGCTTGGGCACTGCTGGACGCCGCCCCACCTTCATGATGACCACCTGCATCCAGGTGGTGATGGCGGCGATGGTGCAGACGCAGGGTGTTGACGCAGCTGAACTTCTTGTTGCAGGGTTGGCAGCTGAGGCGGCGTCCTGCTCTGTGGACGGACAGCTGAAACTGCAGTGCCGTCTCTGCAACCGTCTGTGTCACTGAGACCGTCTGACCCGTCTGTGTCTCTGAGACCGTCTGTGTCTCTGAGACCGTCTGACCCGTCTGTGTCATTGTGACCGTCTGTGTCTCTGAGACCATCTGACCCGTCTGTGTCTCTGAGACCGTCTGTGTCTCTGAGACCGTCTGTGTCATTGTGACCGTCTGACCCGTCTGTGTCTCTGACACCGTCTGACCGTCTGTGTCATTGTGACCGTCTGACCCGTCTGTGTCTCTGACACCGTCTGACCTGTCTGTGTCATTGTGACTGTCTGACCCGTCTGTGTCTCTGACATCATCTGACCTGTCTGTGTCATTGTGACCGTCTGACCCGTCTGTCTTTCTGTGACTGTCTGACCCGTCTGTGTCTCTGCGACCGTCTGTGTCACTGACACCGTCTGACCCGTCTGTGTCTCTGAGACAGTCTGACCCGTCTGTGTCTCTGACACCGTCTGACCCGTCTGTGTCTCTGAGACCGTCTGACCCGTCTGTGTCATTGTGACCATCTGACCCGTATGTGTCTCTGACACCGTCTGACCCGTCTGTGTCATTGTGACCGTCTGACCCGTCTGTCTTTCTGTGACTGTCTGACCCGTCTGTGTCTCTGAGACCGTCTGACCCATCTGTCTCTCTGCAGCCCCTGACCTTTCAGCCACCTCTGAAGCCCCGCCCCCAGCCTCACTGTCAAACTTGACCTTTTTTGGTCTTCCTCTTTGTTTGTTTCTGTTCGCTGTGTCCTGATTGGTCCGACCTGCCTGCCTGTCTGTCTGTACTGTTTCCTCAGACCTGTCAATCATTGACGCGTCATTTGAAGCTCCGCCCCCAGCTTCGCTCTTGTTCTGTGGTTTATTTCCATGTTTAAATTCCCACCCTCTGTCCTGATTGGCTGTTCCTGGACCATGTGACTGTCCCTCTGACTCCAGGAGATATCTGATTGGTGGGCCTACCATCATCCTCCTCAGCCTCTGAGGTTGCTCCACCACCTCCTTTTGTCCATCCTCTCCTCCTCCCTCCTCCTTCAGACAGACTTGTGTCACCTCCACCTTGTTCTCCTTTACTTGTCCTTCCTCTCCTCCTCCCTCCTCCTTCAGACAGACTCGTTTCACCACCTCCACCTCTTCTCTACACCTCTTCCTCCCCCTTGCTCCATCTCGCTCCTGCTGTCTCCTCCTTATGGTGGTCTGGTAGTCGACCCACCACCAGGGATTTCTTCGCGCACGCTTTCTGCATCTTGACCAATCATGAGCCTTGCTGGGACGTGGAAGGACCTCATCTTCCTGTTTGTCATCAGCTGCTCGGGTGCAACCGGATGCCGCCCAACCTTCATGGTGATGGCGGCGATGGTGCAGATGCAGGGTGCTGGCGCAGCTGAACTTCTTGTTGCAGGGTTGGCAGCTGAGGTGGCGTCCTGCTCTGTGGACAGACAGGTGGAGCTGCAGCGCCGACCGACAGGTAAAGGTCAGACCACACACCTGAGTACAGACAGAGTGACACAGTGTTATCGCAGGTGAGTAGAAGCCAATACTACTTACTGATTTCAAATTAGGCGCCTGCAGGAACACAGAAATCACATCGACTCAGTTCTCAAAACGTGGTTCAGAAAAAGATGTAACATTAAACATAGCTGAATTATTAGGTTACCTGTTGACATTTCTACCATCATGGCGCCCACCGTGGCTGACGTGTTCACTTCGTATGTGTACTAGTGTTATTTGTTACCTTCAGGTATGCTTCAACAGTACAAACTGGGGTGTGTGTATGTTTTAAATTACAGTATGATATTATGATACTGAACATTATAAACGTAACAATTTTGTTTTTGCCTCCATTCATCATGAGCTGAACTCAAAGATCTAAGACTTTCTGTGCACAAAAGGCTTATTTCTCTCAAATATTGTTCACAAATCTGTCAAAATCTGTGTTAGTGAGCACTTGTCCTTTGCTGAGAATCCATCCACTTCACAGGTGTGGCATATCAGCATGGGGACTGCACAGGTGTGCCTTAGGCTGGCCACAATAAAAGGCCACTTGAAAATGTGCAAGTACACTGTATTGGGGGGAACCGGAAACAAGTCAGTATTTGATATGACCATCATTTGCCTCATGCAGTGCAACACATCTCCTTCACATAGAGTTGATCAGGTTGTTGATTGTGGTCTGTGGAATGTTGGTTCACTCCTCTTCAATGGCCTTGCGAGCATGCAGATGAGCTTCCCTGAGATGGTTCCTGGCAGTTTGTACAGAAATTCAAACAAATTGTTGCAGCAGCCGTCCGGGTGGCTGGTCTCAGACGGTCTTGGAGGTGAAGATGCTTGATGGGGAGGTCCTGTGCTGGTGTGGTGACACGTGGTCTGCGGTTGTGAGGCCGGTTGGATGTACTGCCAAATTCTCTGAAACACCTTTGGAGACGGCTTATGGTAGAGTTAAGAACATACAATTCACGGGCAACTGCTCTGGTGGACATTCCTGCAGTCAGCATGCCAATTGCACGCTCCCTCAAAATGGCAACATCTGTTGCATTGTGCTGTGTGATGGCCTTTTATTGTGGCCAGCCTAAGGCACACCTGTGCAATACCCATGCTATTTGATCAGCATCTTGATCTGCCACACCTGTGAGGTGGATGGATTATCTCGACAAAGGAGAAGTGCTCACTAACACAGATTTTGTTCAGTGTTTATATAGCATTATAAGCCACTTTTGTTTCACATTCTTTTCACCACTCTTTCTATGTATGCTTTAAAAACACTATACATGATGTATTAATGTGTTTTAGGGTTTATTATGCTTTAAGTCTCACTTTACAGTCGCAGGAAAAAGTATGTGAACCCTTTAGAATTGAATTTCTGCATAAATTTGTCATAAAATGTGATCTGATCTTCATCTAAGTCACAAAAATAGATGAACACAAGCCATGTTTCAATATAATTGTCATGCCAATTTTAAGCGTAGTTTTGAAATGTCACAAAAAATGCTAAATAAGTGTTTCCATCAGCTTGTTTGGAGCTAATAAACCAGGCTACAGCAAGCGTAGTTACAAGTTCTTTACGTCAGAACTTAGTTGGTAAAAGTGTTTGCATCTCCCATTTAGCGCATTTACTCTTTTTCGACAAAAATCAACCTCAAGCGAGCGTAAAAACCTTTTTGGAATTTTGCTGTTTCCATCATCCTTTTTGATGAGATACTTCAAAATGTGCATTAAAAAAACGTATATGGAAACACATCTACTGTCTGCTGAAACTACTACCACCATCCATCTTCATCCGCTTATCCGGGGTCGGGTCGCGGGGGCAGCAGCTCCAGCAGGGGACCCCAAACTTCTCTTTCCCGAGCCACATTAACCAGCTCTGACTGGAGGATCCCAAGGCGCTCCCAGGCCAGTGTGGAGATATAATCTCTCCACCTAGTCCTGGGTCTTCCCCGAGGCCTCCTCCCAGCTGGACGTGCCTGGAACACCTCCCTAGGGACGCGTCCAGGAGGCATCCTTACCAGATGCCCAAACCACCTCAACTGGCTCCTTTCAACGCAAAGGAGCAGCGGCTCTACTCTGAGCTCCCCGCGGATGGCCGAGCTTCTCACCCTATCTCTAAGGGAGACACCAGCCACCCGCCTGAGGAAACCATTTTCGGCCGCTTGTACCCATGATCTCGTTCTTTCGGTCATGACCCAGCCTTCATGACCATAGGTGAGGGTAGGAGCAAAAATCGACCGGTAGATCGTGAACAAGACCCCGAGGTACTTGAACTCCTTCACTTGGGGTAACGACTCATTTTCTACCTGGAGTTGGCACTCCACCACTTTCCTGCTCAGAACCATGGCCACAGATTTAGAGGTGCTAACCCTCATCCCAACCGCTTCGGACTCTGCTGTGAACCGATCCAGTGAGAGCTGAAGGTTACGGACCAATGATGCCATCAGGACCACATCATCCACACAAACGATTATATGTTTTATGTTATATGTAGGCCTAGTATCTGCTGCGCGCGGCCACACGTGGGAGAGGACAACAAACAACGGCAGCTGCTGAGCCATTCATCATAAACTTTGGCTTTAAAACTTCCTACAACAAGACCCAAACAAAGAAGCGCTGAACGCAAATAGGTTAATAACCTGAGGTTAGTAAACATGTTTAGCTCAGCATTGGCCATCTAACGTTAGCTTGCTTCTTGCTTTAGCTACGACCTACGGGAGGTTAACTCCGACTGTTGTATGTTGTGAAAAGATGAATGAGCGTTTGTTTACTTGCCAAACTTGTGGTAGTCGATTAACATAATCATTTACGTCCCTCTGGCTGCCATCATGTTAATTATTAACGTCGGCAGCAAACAGGTTACTGGTTTGAGAGTCTGGTAGTGTGTTGACAGTAGTTAATAAGATGTCATTAATGTCACTGTACATCACATGGTTGTGCTCTGTAAGTGAAAAACAGGTTACAGTTACAGAATCCCTTACAGCTATGCAGTTTTATAACCACGAGAGACTTAAGACTTGACTTGGACTCTGGCTCAAAGACTTGAGAGCATCTCTGCCCTGCCCTATAAAACTTAAAGCATTGCCTGATGTGAACCATGCTTCGACCCAAATAGCTCTAAGATTAAGAGTTGTTGACTTGCATGAAGCTGGAGGGTTACAGAAGTATCTCTAAAAGCCTGGATGTCCATCAGTCCACAGTAAGACAAACTGTCTATGAATGGAGAAAGTTGAACTTTAAGTATATTAGTATTTGGCTAAAAAATTGCTCAGACTTGACACAGTAATCCAGGTCAGACCCAACATAAACAATTGGATTCAGGTAAGAAACATTCAGCTGAAACACCCAACATTTGGGCGGAAGTGTCTTATCATGTGGTGACGTTTCCTAAAAGGTTTCAGGAAAAAAACAGTTTTCACTGTGTGACCCCAGGTATTCTGGGAACCAGTGGCCTGGAGTCATTCAGCCTTCATTAAATACGACTATCGAACAGGAAACTAAACATTTAAATCCTGTATGATCCATTCTGTGAAACATAGTGTATTGAGTGTATATAGATGAGGACCCACCTGACAGAGCTGCCACCCTCCGCCTCCTCCGTCCTGAGGGGACTCCACCCTGCTGCTGTCTGTCGGCTCTGTTCGCTCCACCCCATCTCTCGTCTCCTCGTCCTCGTCCTCTTGATGCTCCAACCTCAGCTTCCTTTCAGCTTTGGCTCCCATTGCTTTGCTGTGATTGGTCGCCAACGGGCCACGTGACCGCTCCTCGAACTCGATGAGGTATCTGATGGGTGGACCGACCGCCTTCCTCCTCGGCCTAACCGCCACGTCCCTCTTCACAGGTCTGACTCGTTCCTCCACCGTTGACTCGTCCTCCCTCTGCTCCTGCTTACACCTCCCCTTCTTTCCTCCTTCCTCCTTCTTCTTCTTCACAATCATTTTCTGGGTGCGTTGGATTCGTGTCTCTCCTCGTTGCGTCTTGCGGTTGCCTTTTGAAGGTATGCCTTCTGATTGGACGACAGCCTGACGACGGTCAGGCTGCGATTTATCGTCCATCTCCCTCTGTCGGCGGGCGGTGCTGCCGGGACTCTTCCTCCTGGGCTGGACTCTTCCTGCGATGTGTTTGGTCCTCCTCTTCTTCTTCTGCCCGTCCGTCGTTATTGTGGGCCGTCTGTTACCACGGAGACGCTCATCTGCAGAAAGAGTGAACAGAGAAGAAGAAATTATGAGGGAACGCCGTCACTCTGGGAACAAAGACACGTGTCCCCTTTCAGAGCGTGACGGTGTCCCTGATAGTGACTAGAGCTCAGCAACTCACTCTTCTCATGTTTGAACGAGCCTTCCTCCTCCTCCTCATCCTCCTCGCTCAGAGGAGCGATGAGTCCAGGGGGAGGAGCTTCACAGCTGCCTGCACTGGGGGACACGCCGCACAGAGGCATGCTGGGTGGCGAGGCGGTCTGTAGGAGGTCCGGAGGCGCAGGTGGTCCGTACTGAGGCATTGTGGGTAGCGGCGTGTGTCCGTGGTGGGAGCAGAGCAGGTAGAGGGGGGCGCCGTGGTGAGCGTCCGGCCTGTGTGAGCTGCAGTGCTGCAGCAGAGCGCCCCCTCCTGGTTCATCCGCTCTGACAGAGACACACTGCCAGGCCACGCCGCACACACCTGGACACACAGACAGGTGAGTATTTCTTACTGACAGATTGTGGTCAGCTGACAGCGGTGCGTTCAGGAGCGTCTCACCTGAGTGTCTCCAGCTGAGCTGCTGGCTCAGCAGGTCCACCTGGACGGCGGCGTCTCTCCTCTCTGCTGACTCGCTCTGGCAGCCCACCTCCCTCCTCTCCTCCTCTGGACTCTCCCACTGGCAGCCCACCTCCCTCCTCCTCTCCTCCTGCTCCTGGATCACCTGAACAACCTGCAGAGGGACGAGACAAACACAGTCAGGACCTCACCTGAACTCCAGGTCACCTTCACCGTCAATTTTATAACCTTCACACAGCTGCACATATTAAATGATGCTCCAGAGACGAGTTTCAGTTCCTCCTGAGTGTGTTTTTGTTGATCAAACTCTGACAGTGAAACGAGTCGCGGGGTTGTGACGCTCAAAATAAAGTTTCCCCCGTGTTGCAGCTACTGGCGAAACTGGCTTCAAAGCACGGAGCGCTTTCTGGGAGCTCAGAGGAAATGCGCTGATAACAAGCCGACCAATCGCAGTTCAAGGAGGAAAATGAAGTCAAATCTTTTTTCAGTCCATAGACTAGACCCTTATTACTGGCGCCCGTGCCCCTGTCTCCATGTGCGGCGCCCCAGTGAAATGGTCAAGTCCCCTTGGCGTCGTTTTTGGAGCTGTAGGGCTCTGCGGTCAAGTTAGCAACAATTGGCTGCATCTGCAACGTCCGGTTAGACTTTCAAAGTAAACTCCTGGTTAATGTGAAGCGGTCCGTGAGCTAGTTAACCATATGAAACGTGGCAACAAACGAGTCAGTGTTTATAACGGAGATGAGAGGATGAAGAGGGACTATCCTGCTGCGCACAAGCAGAGAAAATAACTTTAGGGTGACTTTAGGAACAGCAGTCAGGTGAACTTGTGAAATGAAACTGGCGCATTTCAGGAGAAGAGTCATATATAAAAGAACCTTATTGCATTCCAGCATTAGTGCGACCGGTCCAGACAAACAAGACAGTGATTAGCTGGTTTAGTTACAACTCTGCACTGTTGCAAGAAAGCAGTGGATTGACATTGACTATTAAAATGTTGATGTGCAGCACAGACTGAGCAACATGGACGCACATCTGATGATCTCTCAGTAAATAATAAACATCATTTATTGCGTCAGGTCATAGGATAAATAAGAGCTGGACACAAAAAAAAAAACAGATTTAATGACAATAGCTGTGAATGTTCTTCCTCAGATTTGTTAAGTGATCCACTGTTTTTTGTTCTGACCAGAAAGAAATCAGCCTTTAAACTCGATGATTTGACTTTTATCCAGATCAAATGAAATTTGTTATCGTGGTAACATTTTGGCCGTACCGCCCAGCCCTAGTATAAATAATATTTTAGCTTTGAAAATGTGAAAGGAAACCTGGGGGAGCCAGTGTGAACGGGCCTGATGCAACATTCATATCTGTGTATCAAGTGTTGATATGCTTAAATCTGTCAGTAGAGAAGATGCTGGATCATAAGCCAGGTACAGCACAGACCCGGTCCAGACGTCTTCAGCAGGCCACACAGACCCAGGTGATGCACAGGCTGATGCATTTTATTTTAGATAAACCCGACCTGACATTAGTTCTGTGTGGGACCCCTAATATCTGCAAACTGCCTCTGAAACTGATGAGTCTGTCCATCCGGGTCAGAAACAGAACTGTCTGGTTCTCAGACTTCCTGGTTCAGTAATGTGAGCGCCTCTCCCGGCGCCGCTGCACCTGTTCCAGCTGTTCCAGGTGTGTCCTGTGCACACACGGACTTTTATTAGTTACTGTGACAAACATATATTTTTTAAATTAGTCATAGTCTAATTGTATGTGTTGGTTTTGCTCCTCTGCAGAATGGAAACGTTTTCTTTTATTTACTGGCTAATAATTAGACCCAGCGCTGCAGTTCTCGGGTGAAGCAGCAGGAGTCCTGCAGTAAAGGGCCACACGGACGGTTTGATGCACCGAAAGTCTCCTGAGAGATCAGTCGCGTTAGTAAATTAACACTTACCGGAAACATCGCGATGTTTTCAGATGCGCAAACGGAGCTCACGTGCGCTCCGACCACATGTTCACACCGGTTCACGCAAGAGTTTAAAAGTTAGAGTGTGTTTGTGAATCTTCTCATCAGAAGTTTCTCTGCTGGCTCGAGCAGCTCGGCACTGATTCTGCAGAGTGAAGCTGCGGCGCTGCTGCCCCCAGCGGCCCGGAGGAGCAACATCACGTCACTAATCTGCAGCCTCCTCCTGACAGACGCACTTATTTAGGACAGAGGCTGCTTCTCAACTCTCTTACTTGTCGTTTCATGGCTTGAACCGGAAGTTGTTCCGCTCCACCATCTTGCAGGCCGTTCTTATTTGCTCTCCGAGGAGCGAGGAAACACCAGTGCATCCTTCGCGGAAGTCTTTTACTGGCCGACACGCCCCCTTACTGGGAAGCCCTTATGTGATGCATCATGACAGAAACATTAAACTCAAGTGCATCACTGAAAAGAGTTATGGGCCGAAAGCCTAAAACTGAGTATCGACTTCATTTCAATTTCTCTTAAACCTTTCGCCTGATAAATCCCAAGACATCATATTCTGGGTTATTCAATAACATAATTGATACATACATAATAAATATAAATGCAGATAATGTGAGTATTGTGCCAGTAGAAAAGATCCTCTGAGCGGGACAGAAACCTGGAATTTGGGGCCCCATGAGCAGCTGTTGTCACTACATCTCCAGGACTTAACTGTCCAATCAAAAGCTTTACATAACTAAGTAAAGGCTTGCAAGTGTCCGGCTTCTTGTAGTTCAATATTTACTGCTGGTGATTTGTACATGCAAGTCTGCATGCAGGATGCAGTTCACTATTTGCTTCTCTAATAAACTGCCCTTCATAATTCAATCTAAATGAACGTATCAAACTGGATCATTTTAATATAGTGTGACTTCCATGCAGGCTGAGGTGAGCTGCTGTCAGGACAGACAGGAAGTTTATTTCATAATGATCATTTCTGTCATTAATATCTTTTTATAATGATGAAAAAGACAAACTCCATCAAATCTCTAGAGAGCCGACTGACAGCTGATCGGGGGAGAGTTCAACCTCAAAACGTTTTGCAGCGGTTTGCAACGTTTTCAGATTGAACGGCATGTTTCCTTGAAACGTTGCGCAACGTTCTGCAACGGGCTTCAGGTGTGTTTTCTCCTGTTTGGTGGGCGTGTCTCAGGTGTCACCCAATCAACTGCAACGAGTTTGTAAACACAACGGTGTTAAAAAGCCAGGAAAATGCAGTGCGCTTGCGTACAGAGCAGGGTGTTCAGGGGACCACCGTTTCTGTTGAAAGAAAAACGTTTTGCTCCGTTTTGTCTGCGCTGAAGTGGCCCCAGCTGTGATCAGCTGCCGCCGTCTGATTAATCAGCCCAACTACGAGGCTCGCCTGCCGAACACCAACGCAGAATAGTTGTTTTAGATTCGCTGACAGTTTATAATCTAAGCAATACGGTTGCATCTTCTGTGTGCGACGGGATGTCACAGGGTTTTCATTTTTGGGCCTACATGGAACCGTCCGTGCAGGGTCGGTCGGCTTCACTGTTTGTGGCTCAGCCCCTGGTTCCCTGCATCCCGGTGGGCGGGACTAAGACGCGAGGAAAAGACGCAAGTGAAGGAAACGTGGTTTGCTCAGGTCGACGTTTCTTTAATACTATTTGATTTCCAGGAGCTGTGAGCTGAAATCATCAAGATTAAAACAAATAAAAAAGTAAATATTTCACTTAATATGAATCCAGAAGAACTTTCACGTTTTGACTTTAAACTTTTTTCTTGATATTCTAGTTTTACAGGACGCACCTGTATTTCTGAACCTTTTCCTTCGTTCTTTAGCTTCTTCTTTCAGCTTTAAACCCCATTTAAAGTTTTTGGTTCTAATATAAGAGCAGAATTCATAAAGTTTAACTTAAAATGGATATTAAAGGCTCACTGTGAGTATCACCAACACGTCTGCGGTCCAGTTGCCAATAGATTATGTTCTTCTGCAGTTTAAACCAATGAGATCTCCGTTAGAGAGCGAAGCATTAGCTGCAGGAGATGCACCTTGTTGCAGGTGTTAAATGATGTAAAAACATATATATTCTATATATTAGGGCTGAACAATTCATTTAAATCTTATTGAATTCATAATATGACCCACTGAAATTTTCAAATCGCAGGATGAATTTTTGTTTTGTTTAATATTTCGCAAAAAACATTTTAAATTAAAATTGTCCCACAACCCTGCATAGATAAGTGATAGATGGACGGAAAATCAAAAGAATGGTCCTCCTGAATCTGAACTGATGCTACATTAAAGAGAAAACACTATTAATATTTAACCAATAAAGATGTTCTCAGCTTGCAGTCTGATAATAACAGGATCCAGCAGGAGAGACGGGAAAGTCGGGGTTGAAGGAGTTTATTGAGCTCAGGATCAAAACGTTCAGCTGATCTCCCTGGACGTCCTCATAAAACTAAATCATCTGTCTTTTTACACTCAGCCGTCCTCCAGCCAGAGACTCAGGTCCAAACCACAAGGCCAGCTCCGATCACAGCTGATCAGCTGCGCTAATCAATACGTGTCGTCGCAGCGCCACCTGTAGGACTGGAATTAGCCAGTTACTGAGCACGTGGACAGGAAGTGAAGGTACAGGTGTGAACGGTCAGGTCAGGTGACCTGCTCACATCACTCAAAATACTGCTCCTTTTCATTGGACCACGTTGCCATGGAAACAGCTTGCGTCCAACACGCACATCAGACGGACCTGAGCATCAACAGTTTAGTGTACAGTGTAACTTTGACTGTACCTGAACGCACCACGCTCCAGCTGGCGGTGCTGTTTGTGGCTTGGAGCTGATTGGCTCTACAGTATCTACAGTTTATGTATTTGTATTGTCTGGATTTAACTTTATAATATCTGTCTTTACAAATATAAACACTCTGAGTGCAGCAGCTTGTTACAGGCTGTGAAACACGCGATCTCACGTCAATTAAAAACAAACTGCAGTTTTTATACAATATTTCTGCAGCTACACGTGTCTTTATGAGCTGAGCTGCATGAGAAGTAAACAGAAACACAAAGAAACCAACAGTAACACATGAAGCTACCTGCAGCTCTCTGCTGACCTGCTCGCTGCCGTCACTAAGCATTTATCAAACCTCCCAGAGAACAAAGAGGAAGTAGAAACCAGTTTGTGGTTTGTTTGTGCTGTTCATGCCACAGCCTGTATAGAAGAAGTGGGCGTAGTCATGGTGACGTCACCCGTTGGTGTGTGGACCGCCGTTTTGAAGCCTCGAGTTTGGCCGATAAGTCGCTGCCATGTTGATTTTTTGCAACCAGCGGCACCGGATGTGACCATATTTGGACGAGACAGTGGAGCTAACAGCCGTGTGCGGAGCTAGCTAGCTAGCTTAGCGAGGTGCATCTGTAATTCACGTTAACTGTCATCTTAACAGGGCTGATAACAACAGTCTTAAAACTAAATGTACTACATGTAACAGCCGACTCCTAAGAAGCTTTTTCAACGGCACTGGTTAAATTTACACAGTGGCGTGGGTACGAGTCACTCTAGCCTGATTGACTCATCAGGAAAGTGTTTACTGAGGGAATAAATCAGCTGAGAAGTAGAAACATTTTACCATTATTTCTAACGGAGGCGGACTTCTTATTGAAACCAGAAGAGTCGCCCCCTGCTGGCCGTTCGATAGAATGCAGGTTTAAAGTACTTCCGCGTTCGCTGACCGGAAGCTTCCCGCTTGGTTGATCCAGTATCAGATTAAGTCCTTCAGTTTGAAACTACAGGTCATCACCTCATGCTGAGTTTGTGTTTGTCGTGTCTAAAGTAACCAAAACAATAAAGTTATTGAGCGACATGAAGATATTCAAATTAAAGAAGGTGAATTGTACTCGCTCACTGAGTTTTGGCGTCTCTGAGGTAAAAAAATAAAACGACTCCTGTTACTTTTTGTTTGTCTTACTTCTATTTGGACAATAATCGTAGTTGGAACTCCAGTTCTCTTCTCTAGAGTTAATATTATGTCGAAGAGTTAGCTGTGTGTTTAGCCTATATTTGTTTATAAAACCAATGCTCCCGCACAGGGTACCCTTCAGCGTCCGTATGAGACGCCCTGAGCCTTCAAGTAGCTCCAGTCTGGCCCGTCCACCGTCTGAAACCAAAAGCCAAAGCTGAGTTACTGGATGTTGTAAGTTACATAATGTAACGTTCTTATTTCAACCCAAACATGATCTTTTTCTAGACCTAGCCAAGAGTGCTGGTGCCTGAACCTAACCGGACTGCGAACGCTAACCACGTATTAAAAAGGCGTTTCCTACGGACGCCGAAGGGTACCTTTTGCATCAAATACAGACGCTTTGTCAATCTTGGGACGAGAACGTGTTGGGTCAGTTTCATAGCAGTAGTTCTTCAGATTGTTTAAGTGCTGGTGAAAAGGGACATTTAGTCTTGATGGTGGCGCTGGAGAAAACGTGACGTGTACAGACAGAAATCAGTTCATATGAAAGGAATTGCTGCGATTGGTATATTCACTTCTGCATGTTTCACTTTGGTGAAGTGCTTTACAAACTGAAACAGCCATTGCTGTTAATGCCGTTAGCTTAGAGACGACATCACTGAGCTTGAGGTGTGACAACAATCTGAATTTAGACTTCATGTGATCA